AGTACTGCTCCTATAATAGACCTAAACCTAAACTTGCAGATTTGTCATGACGTAAGTGCCTAATCTATAAGATCATACATGGAGGTCACATCATTGTCTACACCGACTCATCGTATCGTAAGAACCACCCATATATGATGGAGAACAAATCGAAGCTGGAGATAGAACAATATATTTAATACGAATATGAGGTATTGGCTACATAAGAATGATCACTCCTTCAAGGCCGAGCCATAGAATGCTATGAAAATGAATTTATTCTACGAACCTTCTCCATCATTGTTTTTTCTTACGTGTAAAATATTGAATATCTATCTTTTCAGTTGTCTGGTTTACAGCTTTGACGATTGTGTGGTTACAGCCCAATGCCACTACATATATGCATGATGATGTGTTAAAACAAATAAAAGTAGATAAATTGTTGAAGTGTCTGAATAGCAGAAAGTAGCTCAGAAACTAAAGTAGTTCTCTGGAACAAAAACAAATGCACAAACACTGACCTAGACTTAAGTCATAAGGCTCTTACATGAGTTTCATGTGGTGTTCAAACTACTACAAAAATCACTGTAAAATATACTCCATTTAACAGACTTTTGATGTATTTGTTATGCTTGATCTCCGCACCTTATTTCTTTATGTTTATGGAGTAGATCGTATGGCTTTATTTTAGACTCATTATCGATTGTTTCGTTCATAGACTCTAGGAGACGAAAATATCCAAGACGTATGATAAATTTCGTGTTCGTAATCGCTTCAATAGGCTTGAACTTAAATGTCTAAGACTCCTGTTTATTTGTGAAATCTACTTGACTTGTAATTGTATATCCGTAAAATTTTGTCTCCTGTCCATTTATTGGTCCTGAGATTTAGACAAAACAAATAATGAGACCAAGTGAGTGTCCTTAATATCCCTCCAAAGCGAATTATTTGACAGTGTCGCCAATTTTTGAATTCACAAGTGAACTTCCATTCATCACTTACGTCACCAGATTTTCATATTGCTCAGTTCTCTATGTTTAGACCCATAATATTTAACTGAGGTCGAGGTTTGACCTTGTTAGTTATTTTCCTGCTGTATGATGCCTGACCATTGTCAGCAAGGTCTTGTTTGATGGGGCTAAAAGTTATTGGGTGGAGAGGTAGATTATTGTTGCCAGTTGATGGTCTACTGGAAAGACTCGCTGGTTGACTGTATTCTTAATGAGAGAACTGTTAATCTAGTTTCGTCAGCAATTTTCTTACTGCTACTTGCATACCTAGTAACTGCACTTATCGCCCTTTTTCTACGTAGCACGTTAATTTGTTTAAGGAAAACTTTCGAATGAATAATGTGCGAGCATTATTTTTGAAATATTTTACATTTTCTTATTTCAGTACGGTGCCGTACAAACTAGGCAAAAAATTGCTGTTTGTATACTGTACAGATGGAGATACCTTGAATTAATTGAATTGACCTTGAATTTGATAGATCATTCTCTAATTTCAAGTAAAATATTTGAAATCTGATCATTAAACATGGTACAGATTGTAAGTCTGAACACGTAATGACTTTTCGTTCTAATCAAAGTAGCATTGAATCAAACCACGATTCAAATTCAATAAGATGAATACTGCAGATTTATCACAAGTGTATCTACTGTTACTACAATGAAAATGTTCACTAGTCCTTACACTGCATCCCTGAGTTGCGTCCGAATTAAGTTAATCAATGATTTTCGAAGGGATATTTTAACGAAAAATTGTACTAGATGACATTGTATCAGTACTTTGAACGACGACCCACTTGCAGATGGCAATCACACTGGAATTCGCAGTTCAGTTTGATTGTACATATTCAGTACCTAAAACAAAGTCTCAATAATGGTCGGCCGAAAATTTCCATTGACAGTGGGCCAAGGGGGCTTAGGTAATGGTTTGTGTTCTTAACGCTTTGGAAGCAAGTGGAGTCAGTTTGTCTGGCGCAACCATACATAGTTATTCTTTCATAACATGGAAATAAGTCTTTTCACTTCAGATCTTTGTTATATGTCAAAGGATACGTGAAGAGCTTGTTTTATAAATTTTGTAATTGCCAAAACTCCTTAATGTCAGCAAGAATAATCGGCTATGACATTAGTGAGTTTAACCATGGACTTTGCGGTTTAAGTTGCTGTCAACAATATCAACGAAATTGTGACTGTAAACCACTAATCGATTCGTATTGGCAAACGGTTATCTGAGAAATCCGTCAGATTACAGTGTTGGGACTTCATCCTCGCCACATCGAATCAACAACCATTTAAGAAGTTTTGGTAATGTTAAAACCTGGGAACGTCTCCATGACCATTCATCTACAGCTTCGGATAATTCGTCTGTTTTCTGGTAAGTTTTGTGAACTTTGCATTTCATTTTTTATGCCAGCTAGTTGAGGAGTCTGAAATGTTTCTAGTGATTTTCATTTAATTTATAATCCTTACAGATGACCATTAACGCGGATCAACATGAGAATTTTCGACTTTGCCAAGTAATCACGGGTGCGCTTGCGAGATTCATTCTTCAGAGTATTATCGGACATCAAAATCGTAAACAGTGGGAGTAAAACTCAATGTTTAATTATCAGTAATAGCCACGCCTGATATAATGATAACTTACGATCCAGGAATTAACCGTTTACTTCTGGGACTAGAAGTGACGAACAATCAACTTTATTACTAGCAATCGCCGACCGCCAATGTAGATTCGGCTTTAGTAAGTAATTAAGGATGAAGTCTGTGATTTTCAAACCAGAGTGTTTTGCGATGAGTAATAACTGTTGAAGTTAGTTTAATTGCGTGCTCTCTCAACTAGTTGAGATCCAAAACAAAGTGATTGGGTGAAGGGCCGTTTTTTCGTGGTAAATTTAAATGCAGATTACCATATGATACCTGTTTTGAATGGATTGCGTACATATTTTTACATTATTAAGTGTTTACAGATCTAGAACTGTAATTCAATTGACAATTAAAAGTGGATAGTTCCAATCATTTCAGGCAATACAAACAAAAATGCGAATAAAATCAATATGACAGCCACCATATCCAAATACAAAGTAAAACAACATTTATATGGTCTATGAAAAGCCTATAAATTCATCGAAAACATTAAAAAACAAAAATCACAACATAAAGTAAGTAATGTCACCTTGCCTAAAGTCAGAAACTTTTCAAGATGTACAGGTGAGGAAGTCAAGAGGAATGGGTCACGAAAGTGTGTACGTGTGGGTATTTTGACGCATAATGACGCAAAACTCTTTAAAAGGATCCAAAAAATTTTACTTCCCGTTGGCAGTGACAACCGATGTAGATGTCCTTATTTTCATTCACGACGTGATTGTGGGCTAGTCAGCTAGGTATAATGGGAATGAATTAACCAAAATAGGCGAATGAAAGCTAAAAGTATTCAACCTCGATACAAAAGTGTAAACATCAATAGTGCTAACACTCTAAATCCTTTAACAGTTACCATATTTATCTTAGACCCATGTTAGTAAAAATATAATTATTTTACAGATAAAAAAATACAACTAAAAATTCTTTGGTTTCTGAAATTTTCCCCATGCTGATTTGAAAATTCTTTTTGATGTGTGCAATACAATGTGGATGTTTTTTCCCGAAACGCTAACTTTGTCTCACGGTGGTACTCCCGGATAGGTCTTAATTCCTTCCCATAAGTAGGTTACACAAGCCAAGTCCTCTAATTGATAGCCTATAAGCGACTGATATTTTAAAACACATTTTTAAACGATATGACGTTTAAAACATAATGAACACAAAAGTAATAAGGTCAGTCAACAAAACCTCAGACAATCTATTAAGTCGTTCAATGTTTGTTGACAAACGTCACTGTTACTATCGCGCAATTCATCACAATTTCTATGAATGTCGTAATGGTTTATCCATGTATTTGTCTGAAAACAACAGCCGCACATGTAAGACTGATAGTTTTTTAGCCTGATAGTTTGTGTTCGGGTCCATTCTGTTTGGTAGTAATTTGCATGAACTGGAGGTTTCTATCTTTGATGCCAGGTCGAATTTTGTGTTTGAAGATGACTCACTTTGAAGAATCTAGAGGAGTTGGTAACAGGTTTTGGTTTGTCTCATGAAATGTACTCAGGTATTACAGTGGACATCTAACTACAGGTGTCTACTCAGCGAAATAAGTAAGTCTCATAATCCTAGCTGCTTGCTGAGGTGAAGTTGAGAACCATTAGACTGTTCGTTTGAATTAAGCTGTCGTAATCAACGACACAGAATTTTATAGAGAGTATAGTGGGATAAATCACAAAACAAATGACCAATTTAAAGTTTGACTATAGTAATGAAATCCATGTTTACTTATTTAAGCTTATAGTACATAGTAACTTTACAGTTACATGGTGTATTTGAAAAATTAATTCACTTGCCAAATAATTATTGTGTACAACCAGCAAATTATGAGGATACTAGAGAAACAGGAGGACAAACAGAAATTTAGATCAAGCAAATACTTTATGACCGTTAAGTTAATAGACAAATAAACAAAAAAATAAAGTGCAGCAGTCATACTCAATGTTTACGTGTGTAAGTTAGGGTACAACACCTAGAAATTATAGCATGTTTCTCCACAAAACCTCATTTAACATCGACAAAGAGATCCGGCAGTAGCTATTTGAATAGATTTTCCACGGTCAGGACAAAATTTATAGACAGCTTCAGGAGATTGAATGAGATGATAGGTCAGTCAACACATAATGAAAGCATATAAAAATATTCATCAACAGAGAAAGAAAACGAAGAGTTTTTGTCGTACACACCAGCCTAAAACCAGGGATTATTATATCGAAGTACATTTAATAAACGGCTTTTAAAATATCTGTCATATCGAAATGATACAAGCTGAAAATGAAAGTAACAATTTAACAGATGATTAGTGTCATTTTACAAGTAAAAGAATTAATTAAGTAATACAGTTAAACACCCATACTTTTGTTTAACTTTATAAACGTAGTATTTCAAGATGAACTTTGACGATCTCGATAGAAACTTGCATATGTGATGTCGCGGTAAGATTTTGAGTGATGAAATAATGTTTTAAAAATTGCTGTTTGAAATCCATCATCAGATAATTGGTTTTTTAAATTTTAATCACACCTGCAAATGCATCATCTGACAATGAATATTAACACAGCTGTGTTATGAATGTGTGCGGTTCTAAAATTTATTTCAGTCTTCGAAAACTCCATGGTGATTTACAGAAATCGAAAAATAGCACTCATGATATCTCCTCAAGCAGAAATTGTATTTTTTTGATTGAAGTTTTTCCGTCAACAGGCATCAAAACTGCTTTTTCCATTTTGGAGTGTTTTTCACATAATTGGTCTCTTAGAAATTTGATCGGATTTATATTTCGCTGTCGTTAAAATGATTATATCTAAAGTTTCTAGTGAGCGCTTTGTCAGATTTTCTGTTGTTCAGTTCAGTTTTGATGTGTATCGGATTATTATCTTTCAAGCTTTCGAATTTCGACAAGGTAAAGGTAAACCCATAAACTAACAAGGCGGAAGAATCACGTATAATTTGAAATTAATCAGTGTTAACCAAATTTTTTCAACAGCAGTCCAGGGCATTAAATCTACTTTTAGTTTTATATTGCTTAGATTTCCAACATAAACCAGGGATAATTGTGTCGCACTCGGAATTCAGTACGCTCACGCCTAAGTAGAAGGGATGCTAAGAGTTCAAAAGCGTTACGTATGAAAAGATCTGAAACAATGAAAAACGATCCAAAAGTTGGTCTATGGGCTCGGTAAGCATACATAATTTAATTATCTTTTATAGTGTAGGCAGACGACGGCAACTAGCAACGACGACGACAACTGAAATTAGGAGCCGGAATTGTAAGGTTTCTAAAGCATGATAAGTGAATTACATTGGGCATAATCATAGTGCTTGTAAATCACGGCTTAAGCTGCAACCTTATTTTCAAGTTTTTTTAAATAAACCCCGAGATAACTTAACGTTTCTTAACCCAAAAATGACTTTCGAGTTTTCCGTTGGTATTTTAAAATACATTCTACCATGCTCATCACACAATAGATGAAGCAACCCCTACTTCTTGTGAGTTACATGGTAACCTTTCTGGTGTTTATGGGGTTTAGTTTGATCCATTATCTTATTTTTCATTTTTATATTTGTTTATTACTTGTGTTAAAAATTTAAAAAGTTTCATCTTCATAATAATTGTAGATTTAATCTTGTGACTTCTCTTAGTCTTCGTTACTATCTGAGAAAGCATGTAGTAAAAGTTAATGAAAATAACTCTAAATAGGACGTATAAACGTAACGATACACAAATCATTGTATAGCAGATCACTTCATTAGAATGATTATCCCCAATATTTTGTGCATATTTTATGACCATGCACCCTTTTGAAAGTTGACTCTGTCACCTATCCCTATCTTTCTTTTCAAAGTCTCATAAACAGTTTTTAATTCGCCAACGAATTCTGTTCACTACTCTAGGTTTTATCGGAACTATTTTATACAAAAAACTTCAATATGTTAAAAAAATAGCCCGCTAATAATAAAAGGTTTCTGTTGTCGCTCTTAAGTGGATGATTCCGTTTCTCGATCAAGTATTTAGTATGACAGAAAATCATCCGAATTGCCATGCGTAAGTATTTATAGGATTAATACTTGTGGCTGGTGGCCATTATACCTTTTAACCTTATTTAATTTGCTTAAAACTGCAAATCTTACTTCAAAAGCTACTCGTTTATCAAAAACTGAACTCATTTAATAAAATAACCTTTTAGCTTTTTTCGTAGATTTCAAAATATAAATTGATTAAGGGAAGCATAAACTAGTGAGTTTTCCGCTCTTTTACTGAACAGTTGCACTAAATTTTACTAGGCTGCACGTCGTTTCCTGAAAGTTACATAAAATTATTTACTGTTCTGGGTTAAAACCCTCAAACTGATCCAATATTTTAATACGAGGTCCATACATAGTGTTTATCGTTTCATAAAAGTGTTAGATTTGACAGTAATTTTCTCAGGTAATCGGCAATCATAAGAACTAGCGAATACCTATTTTTTAGTTTAGGACTAATAATGATAGTTGAAATATGGTCTTACTCTTTGTGATAAATTATCACGAGATGAGATTGTGTCATTTTAAGACTCACTAATTCTTTGTATTAAATTATTTTCATTGCTGCAATGATTACAAGTACTAGAGAAACCACTAAAGATTATTTATCTGAAATAAACGACCTGTAAAACATCTCTAAAATGTATGATCTTTGTCTGACACTTTAGTAACATCAATAAATAAAATATCTTCGGTGATAACTAATTTGTAGGCTGTATGGTAGAGTGAATCAATGCACAACTTTCAATTAATTATCAACGACAGTTATCATCTAGATGATGTGTGCATTTAATTGTGTATTTCACCGATATATATTCATGATTGTCATGTATGCTAGTATATACAAATTTGTGAACGTTGTTTTGACTGCCATTTCATATAACTCTACTAGTTGATAAATAAAACGGTATTGGAAAGATAATACCATGAGGTAAAGTTATCGTCCACAAGAATCGTTATAGGAAAAGTATTCATTTTCCATTTCATCTATTTTTTAGCTCTAATTCTGAGTCAACTTAACAAAAATATGCATATTTTGTACAGAAACCAACAAATTTACAGACCAACACTCACATTTATCATTAACTAGCAAATTTTCCTGGTGTTAATTATTTAGGTGGGTCGGGAAGTTGATCAACGTGCAAATCTATGACTCAGTTTTAATGGTCAAATGAGCTGAATAAGATCGATAAACATACACAGATGAACGAGCATATATAAAAATCTCATTCAAAAAATTATTCTTTACTTACTGAAGAACAAGTACAATCGACTTAGTGAAGTTATTAATGATTCACTTAATAGTCACAATAAGGTTGAGCACTTTACCAGTTCCGACAAGAATAAGCCTTAGTAGGTGTGAGGCTGCAACAAGCAATTAGTATACACATAGAGAAAGAAGTAAGGGTTAAGTATATAATTGTTTTCGTGTATGATTTTATAAGTTATCATCTATTATTGTTGGTAGGCTTAAAATTGATATTTAATTGTAAGTCAATAGGGTAACTTGAATTGGAGTCACCATCATTTTTCGACTATTAAAAAAACGAAGCTTTTGTTGCTTAGGGATAGGGACAGTGTACTAGTTTGTTTATGATTTGATCTCTGCGGTGTGTTTTTTCGTAGACAGTTTCTCATTAGAAGTTTTTTGATGTGGGAGACACATCTTTTTCGAATACAAGAAAAATCTTTAATAGAACTTTTAATATCTTAACTGATATAAACTGAAACAAAAATAGTGCTTACAGGAGACTGATCAACCGCAGTCCTAAACAATGATGGAAAGGTAGAAGCGAACAATATCAAATGGGTTCAAAAGTAGTAGGTTTTAATGAATCAAAACCACCAAATCCGAAAGACTATTTAACAAAAAATATAAATGTATTTTATACTAAGTAACACGTGTCGAATGAGTATAATTTAATGAATTATTACGTAAAAACGTAACATTCGAACTGCAGAGCTACAACAAAATAATATTTTTTAAACGATTCTTCACTTGTGTGCATACGAGAGGGGCTTAACTATTATTTTTCCTAAAACGTAAAATGTCTCTACTTGATCTGGAGTTTGTCATGTATACGGACTTTAGAGTTATGTAAATAAAAATGTAGAATAGATGTATCATATTATTTGATTTAATGTGATAAATCAATTGAAATGTGTGCAGCAAATGAATTACTCATTTAGATTAATTACAGTTATCTATTTCAGTTCATTGAAAGAATAATGACTTAGTACGATAGTTTAACTGACATCAAAGTTCTTGTATTAATTATTTGAGTAATAAATAGACAAATACGATGACATTTATAGGTAAGCCGAAGATTTTTGCATAGTATGCATTGTTTTCAAGCCTGAATCTCATGTTCTTTGCACACCAGTTTGTTACTGACTTTTCAAATGTTATTCTTCAACATGAGTGAAAAATTACTGTTGGACGTATAGCTAATTCATCTAATTTTTATTGATGAAAAGACATTTTTGTATCATCGGGTTTTTTTAACGTTGAATGGTGTTCCTGAGGGTTATCTGATATCCTAGATTCCGTTTAATTTCATTAAAGATGTCCTCCCACAGGTCTCACCTTTGTTACGAAACCTTTAGAAGATTAATGTATTTAATGGAAAATTACTAACCATTTAGAATACATGGATCATATTGTTTTATCTAGTGAAAAGGCTGACAAAACTTCTTCGCGTCTCCTGAAGTCTCTGACAAATAGTAAAATCACTTTAAGAATATTTTTTCTTCTAACTGTTAAATATTTAATAAAGACAGGTTTGAGTCATCTCTTACATTGGTCATAGTGGGCGACTCTCAGGAAGTAAATCGTTTGCTGGTACTGGAGGTCGCATTAGCCCATAGTGGATTGGTTCCTGGGGAAATATAGACACGAATTTGGGAAGCCCACTTGTCTTTCATTAAATTTCGTAAGTTAAAATGTAGGAAACATGTTCATTTACCAAAAATTTGGAATATACTGGCCAGAAATCCATTCAGCATTGCATTATAGCGGAGGAACATGGTCAAGAAAAGTAGAACACGTGTTTAGATGTCACGCTTACGATCATAGACGTTTTTGAAGCGCATTTTGTGTGTTGAGGAACAAAGTGGTGGTCTACGTCGAGGTAAGCAACAGATTGCTGAGCAATGAGGATAAAACGGTTGATGCGGTCATGAATCTTCATCAACCAAAGAGGTTGGGCTGTATTTTATGTAAGCACAATCAACTATTGTCTTACAGTACAATTATTTATTGGAGTAGAAGTAATTTGAAAGAAGGATATTGGAGGTCAAACCAAAATGTAACACCAGTTCACACACTCACTTAATATTGATTTGAACAAATTAGGTAGATGTAGACTACCTAGTTTGGATATCTGCGATAACTATGGGCTGTGGTTGAAGA